ATTTTATGGGGCTATGTAATAATATAAGTACACAACTTCTTGTTATTGAATGGGCACAACATCACCTTAAAATTCTTGGAAGACTAGATAAGATAATTAGCCCTCATTTGGTTAGTGATTTTTTTAGTTAAAAAATTTTATAAAGCCACAAAAAAACTAAAAAAATCTAAAAAGTCAACATGTTATATTATATATATCAATCAATCATTTTTTTTCTCACAATTATCTATTCAACTAAAAAACTCAATCCATATTAACTTATTTCACTTTCATAAAAAAGTCAAAAAGTTAAAAGACTACTAAAAAAGAGATATTGCCAAACCGACACTTAGGCACTATTTGTTACAGTTTCTAAGAGGTAATTATAGCTTATTTTAATTTGAGAGTTTGTACCAGATTGTTTGGTGAACCTTCTATTTATAACTTATTAGACAAAAATAACTTAAATAAGCTAAAAAAAGTTGATGATTTAGAAGTTGGGAAAGTGGTGGTTTAGCTTCTACTTTCTGATTATCATCTTTTAACTTAAAAAAATCTTGCCAAACAAGACCTGTATTCCTAACACTATTATAGAATTATGAATAATTTTTACCTAGGATTATTGAATAGACTAGAGATACTATTGTAGATCCACTGTCATCAAAGTAGATGAAAATGATTGGGTCATTTGTTTTTGTGTTTGTACCAACAAAGAAAACAAAATGAAGATGGTTTAGAAAAGCAATAAATCAACACAACCACCAAATAAAAAATAGGACAAATATATCTCACATGAGATAGTTACCATACATAGGGTTCACATAATTTGAATTTCATCTTATGTGAGATATATGTATCTTATTTTGTGTTTGATAATTGTGTTTTTAGCATTAATCATGGATTTATAAATTCGGGGGGAAAAATAAAAAATTCATCCATAATACAAAACAAAAGAGCTCATATAAAGAAAATTTAATCTACATTATAAATTTGCATTTTCGAATAAGTTTTTGAGTTTATTTTCTATGTTTAGAGATTTTTTCTAAATAAATAATGTAAAATTAAACTTCATGCGGTGTAAATTACACTCAAAACATACTTAATTCATATATTTTAAATTTTGATTACTATGGTTCATAGCATCATTGCTCTGAATGTATTCCCTACATTTGGAGAGGAGTCCTTACCCATTTCTTAAAAAATATTAAATTAAAGGCTTAAATTTGTCACAGCTACATTGTCATGACCCGAACTCGCGCCTATGGGTTAAGGACATAACCGGCCAGTAATCACGAGATCACCTACAGCCTCAAACCAAAGCAAATATATTTTAACAAAGCTAAGGGGCCAAACGGAAGCAAAATCAAAACTTTTGTCCATAGAACTATGCTTACATGGTACTTCATAACAATCTATACGTATACATGTTAATAACTCACATCAACATATGTAATAACACAAGGTTCTGTACATACAGGATCATTAAGTCTAAATTGGTCAAACCCAAAGTTTATGTACAAAGGTAATCCAATGTTTTCGCCAATATAACAAAACCATATCAAAAGAGCAAAATAGGTGAAGACAAGTCTCGTGCGTGAGACGTTTGGGCTGACTCTTCAAAACCTTGACTGTTTTATACAAACTTCACTGAGGCTGGGTTTGGACGTCCCTTGGCTCACCTACATAGACATGAATGAACGTGAGCGCAAGCCCAGTGAATAATATCAAATAAAAAAAGTACGCGAACAGTATTTAGAACGACATGCACCAAACGGCCTTGGGCCCAATTCATGTTTCTATCTAGTATATATATATATAGGTCAAGTAATTGTGGCTCCAAACACATCAGACGGCCTCGGGCCCAATCCAATCATGTCAAACTGGCAATTAATTTTTCTCTATACATTTCTCTATGTTAATTTTTATATATAATTAAGGATTTTGTGAATTCAGAAATTAGTAATTATAAAGAAGAGTGATTAGTAACTATGATTGATTTTTCAATATCATTTATACCTATGATAGTTATATATAAAAGATATCATTTATAACTATGATCTGGTCCATCATTTCAAAGAGATTTACAAAATTATAAAATAATTAATTTTTCTCTATACATTTCTCTATGTTAATTTTTATATATAATTAAGGATTTTGTGAATTCAGAAATTAGTAATTATAAAGAAGAGTGATTAGTAACTATGATTGATTTTTCAATATCATTTATACCTATGATAGTTATATATAAAAGATATCATTTATAACTATGATCTGGTCCATCATTTCAAAGAGATTTACAAAATTATAAAATAATTAATTTTTCTCTATACATTTCTCTATGTTAATTTTTATATATAATTAAGGATTTTGTGAATTCAGAAATTAGTAATTATAAAGAAGAGTGATTAGTAACTATGATTGATTTTTCAATATCATTTATACCTATGATAGTTATATATAAAAGATATCATTTATAACTATGATCTGGTCCATCATTTCAAAGAGATTTACAAAATTATAAAATAATTAATTTTTCTCTATACATTTCTCTATGTTAATTTTTATATATAATTAAGGATTTTGTGAATTCAGAAATTAGTAATTATAAAGAAGAGTGATTAGTAACTATGATTGATTTTTCAATATCATTTATACCTATGATAGTTATATATAAAAGATATCATTTATAACTATGATCTGGTCCATCATTTCAAAGAGATTTACAAAATTATAAAATAATTAATTTTTCTCTATACATTTCTCTATGTTAATTTTTATATATAATTAAGGATTTTGTGAATTCAGAAATTAGTAATTATAAAGAAGAGTGATTAGTAACTATGATTGATTTTTCAATATCATTTATACCTATGATAGTTATATATAAAAGATATCATTTATAACTATGATCTGGTCCATCATTTCAAAGAGATTTACAAAATTATAAAATAATTAATTTTTCTCTATACATTTCTCTATGTTAATTTTTATATATAATTAAGGATTTTGTGAATTCAGAAATTAGTAATTATAAAGAAGAGTGATTAGTAACTATGATTGATTTTTCAATATCATTTATAACTATGGTAGTTATATATGAAAGATATCATTTATAACTATGATTTGGTCCATCATTTCAAAGAGATTTACAAAATTATAAAATAATTAATTTTTCTCTATACATTTCTCTATGTTAATTTTTATATATAATTAAGGATTTTGTGAATTCAGAAATTAGTAATTATAAAGAAGAGTGATTAGTAACTATGATTGATTTTTCAATATCATTTATAACTATGGTAGTTATATATGAAAGATATCATTTATAACTATGATTTGGTCCATCATTTCAAAGAGATTTACAAAATTATAAAATAATTAATTTTTCTCTATACATTTCTCTATGTTAATTTTTATATATAATTAAGGATTTTGTGAATTCAGAAATTAGTAATTATAAAGAAGAGTGATTAGTAACTATGATTGATTTTTCAATATCATTTATAACTATGGTAGTTATATATGAAAGATATCATTTATAACTATGATTTGGTCCATCATTTCAAAGAGATTTACAAAATTATAAAATAATTAATTTTTCTCTATACATTTCTCTATGTTAATTTTTATATATAATTAAGGATTTTGTGAATTCAGAAATTAGTAATTATAAAGAAGAGTGATTAGTAACTATGATTGATTTTTCAATATCATTTATAACTATGGTAGTTATATATGAAAGATATCATTTATAACTATGATTTGGTCCATCATTTCAAAGAGATTTACAAAATTATAAAATAATTAATTTTTCTCTATACATTTCTCTATGTTAATTTTTATATATAATTAAGGATTTATATATAATTAAGGATTTTGTGAATTCAGAAATTAGTAATTATAAAGAAGAGTGATTAGTAACTATGATTGATTTTTCAATATCATTTATAACTATGGTAGTTATATATGAAAGATATCATTTATAACTATGATCTGGTCCATCATTTCAGAGAGATTTACAAAATTATAAAATAAAACTACCTTAATAAACCACTCCCCATAACCTATAAATCGAATTGCAGGTAATCGAAGAAAATAATGGTGTTAATGAGTTGGCTAATTGTGGTTGGAAGCCAAAATTGGGTATGTCATTTGATTCTGAACAAGTTGCATATGATTTTTATAATACCTATGGCGGAAAGGTGGGCTTTAGTATTAAGAAGCTACATGCACACAAGAACAAACATACTAAGGAAATAACTTCACGGACTTTTGTATGTTATAAAGAGGGAACTCGGGGTATTGACAAGCGAGATCCACTAGTAAAATTTTCGAGACAAGAGGTGAGGTGTGGTTGTCGTGCTCGATTTAGTATCAAGTTAGATAGAAATTTAGGAAAATATGTTGCCATTGATTTTGTTGAACATCATAATCATGATCTTGTGCCTCAAGAGTGCATTCATATGTTGCCATCCCAAAGAAAAATATCTACCACCCAAGCAATTGAAGTAGAATTGGCTGCAGAATCTGGAATTCCTCTTAGGTCTGCTTATGAGCTATTTGGTAGGGAATCTGGTAGAAGAGCATCACTTGGCTTCACCAAATTGGACCAAAAAAATTACTTGAGATCGAAGAGACAAAAAGATTTGGAATATGGAGAAGCGGGTAGTGTGTTGCAATACTTTTGTAAGAAAAGTTTAGAAAATTCATCCTTTTATTATGTAGACCAATTAGATTGTGAAGAGCAAATAAGTAACATATTTTGGGCGGATGCACAAATGATAATGGACTATGCTTAATTTGGTGATGTAGTGACCTTTGACACTACTTACAAATTAAATAATGAACATAGACCTTTTGGAACCTTTGTTGGATTTAATCATCATCGAGAAACTGTTGTATTCGGTGCAGCGTTGATGTATGATGAGACTGCCGAATCATTCACATGGTTGTTTCAGATTTTTTTGGAGGCAATGTCAAACAAAGCTCCAAAAACTATTTTCACCGATCAAGATGCTGCGATGGCTAAGGCCATTCCAATTGTCATGCCTAGTACAAACCATCGACTTTGTACATGGCATTTGATGCAAAATGCCATGAAGCATGTGAGTTCCCTCTTTCAAGATGTTGGGGTAAAGGGTGTCTTTTCAAAATTTATGCATCAAATTGATGATGAAGAAGAATTCAAAATACAATGGGACCAAATTCTTCATAGGTATGATGCACACAACAATCATTGGTTGGCGCAAACTTTTGGTGTGAAGGAGAAATGGGGATGGCCATATATTATGAATTCTTGGGCAGCTGGAATGAGTACTACTCAACTTAGTGAATCATTCAATGCATTTTTGAAGGATTATCTCAATTGTGATCATAACTTGATGGAATTTTTCAAGCATTTTGAGAGGGTGCTCTATGACAAAAGGTATAAAGAATTGGAAGCCGAGTATAATTTGTGTCAAAAATTGCCAAGGGTTGCCATTCCAACTGTGATGTTAAAGCAAATGGCAGATATTTACACCAAAACAATTTTTGAGGAATTCCAAAATGAGTACGTGCAGTCCATTGAAGCGTCCATTGTAGGCACTATTCATGATGGTGAGAGTACCATATTCACAATTCAAACGGATGTAGATGGAAAAAAAGATAAGAATGTGACAATGGATAGAGATGGTTTTTTGAGTTGTAGTTGCAAGAAGTTTGAAGTGAAGGGCATAGTGTGTCAACATTGTTTAAAGGTGCTTAGAGAGATAATCAATGCAAAGGACCTTCCTGCACAATACATACTCAAACGATGGACTAAAAAAGCAAGGGCTGAAACTGTGAAAGATAGGCGTGGGTATGATGTGAAGGCTGATGTCAAACTACATCAAAGCGACCGATATAGGTCATTGATGAATATGTTTAGAGCTATTGCAAGTAGAGCCGCCGAAAGTGAAGAAACTTATCATTTGTCACTTGCAAAAGGTGAAGAACTGAGTGTCATGGTTGAAGACAAATTAAGTGTGCACACTTTTGGTCAAGTGGAGATCACTGAATTCAGAAATTCCTCAGCTAACACATGCCCACAGAGTGATGAAATAGATTGTCCAATCCAAGCCAAGGGACTGAAGAAAAGACAAGCAACTACTAAGGGAAGAAGGAGGATCAAGGGCGAGATGGAAAAATGTATTGCGAAGAAGAAAAGAATGCAATCTAAGCAGGTAATTAATTGAAGTTATGTCTGATTGTTATGTGTTATCAATTTTGTGTTATGTGTGTTAGGAAAATAATTTATTAAATAATTTGGTTGTTTGCAGGGTGATAGTTTTTGTACTCTTGAAGGTCAATATGAGCCTCCTGCTGCCATGGGTAATATTTCTAGTCAGGTAATTTTTACTATTGTGTGCAACCTTGTATTAATTTGATGGATTGATTATTCTTGCAACTAGTAGCGTTATATTGATTATTTTTTGTCTTTTGTGATGCATGTAGGATGGTTCTTTTTCTACTTATCAAGGTCAATCTCAACCTTCTTCCGACATGGGTAATCATTCGATACAGGTAATATTTAATTTAGGGTGTTTACCTTTGACATGCATAGACGTTAGGGAAATTGAATCTCATACGGAATTATGAACTTTGTCTTATTCTTTGCTTTATGTTGGTTTACGTTAGGGTGTTTACACTCCACAAGGTCAATCTCGACCTCCTTTTGCCATGGGTAGTAATTATGTTGAGGTAATATAACATATTGTTTGTTTTTTAACATGAAAATGCATTATGATTTTTTTTTTAAATGCATTGTCTTATTCTTTGCTTTATGTTGGTTTACTTTAGGATGTTTACACTCCATAAGGTCAATCTCGACCTCCTTTTGCCATGGGTCGTAGTAATTACGTTCAGGTAATATTTCATATTGTATGTGTTTAAAAATGAAAATACATTATTATTTTTTTTGATGGACATTCTTCTTTTATTTATGTTGGTTTACTTTAGGGTCATAGTCGCGAATCCCAATCTCAACCTTCTTTTGCCATGAGTCATACTAATTATGCCGAGGTAATATTTCATATTGTATGTTTTGTAAAATGAAAATACATTATTACTATTTTTCATTTCATACTTTATTTTTTTACGTTGGTTTACTTTAGGGTGATGGTCGTGCAACCTATATTTCTCAACCTCAATCCCAATCTCGACCTGAATCCCAATCTCAACCTTCATTTGCCATGGGTCGTATAAGTGTACATCATGTCATGTATCCTACATATGATGTGAGTTGTAATTGGTTACATACTTTACATTGAAAATGTAGTATAGATTCTAAAAAAAGTTTAATACATGTATCACTATTGCAAGAAACGCCTCAGTCAATGCCGCCTGATTCAATGCCTTTACTGTATCCCACTCCGACATCGTTTCAGAAATTGCTTTGAGATAGTACTGCAGTCTGTCACAAGCCTCACATAGTCCTGCTGACAGTCGTGTGGATGGACATCCCTGGAAGGCTTGCACTGAACGATGATGTTATTATATTTGTGGATTTGGGTGTATTTTTTTTTATGTTCGGTGGGATTTGGATATTTTTGATGGACAATTTTTTTTTATGTATTTGTAATGTTTTGTGGGATTTGTATAATTTTTATGGATATATTTTTTTATGTATTTGTAATGTTTGGTGGGATTTGAATTTTTTTATGGACATTTTTTATTACACCCAAGAAGGGGTGAGAGTTTAGTATTAATGTATTCATGTTTGGTGGGGATTTCAATGTTTGTGTACATTTTTTATTACACCCAAGAACGATAATGTTTTTTTACTTCACATGATAAATTCTTCATTAATACGGTCAGAAGTTTGATTCATAGTTTACTCTGTTTTTCCATTCAATTTAAATTCTTCAAACGCCATTTTTCACATTTGTTTAAAAATGTAATTTCTAGAATTGTTTAGTTTACATTCTTAATTTCTAGAAAGTGCACAGCTTTAAACTTTGCATGCCATATGATACCAATTCTCACAATTGGGATATTCAAAATAAGAATGGAGATATATAATGCTTTAGTTTGGATGACATCATTAAAAACTAAAATCAATGTTTCTATGTCAATTTGAATTTTAAAATTTCCTGTTTTGATTACACCCTGTAATGTAATGGACAGGTTGAACTTATTTTCGGTTATTTACTGTTTTGATTACACCTTGTAATGGACAGGTTTGATTTTATTTCCTGTTTTGAGTACACCCTGTAATGGGCAGGTCTGATTTTATTTCCTGTTTTGAGTACACCCTGTAATGGACAAAATACACTTATTCCCTATTTTCATTACACCCTGTAACGAACAGGTTGAACATAATCACAGCCATACAAAGTGCACAACATAACCATACAAACTGATTACACAAATTACACAGCTCTGCTGGACAAAATGAACAAAATAACCAAGTGCCATTACATAACCATATAACCATACAAAATTAACAAGTCCAGTTAACCATACAAACATATAGTTTACCTAACCACATAACCATACAACCTGCCACTAGCTGTCATGGGTCGCAAAGATTACAAAACTATTACATTTTTATAACTAACACGATCCCAATTACAAGCAAGATACACAACCCATAAATACGACTCGAATTTTGATTTATGTCTGTTTCCAACTTAAGCATCTTCGCCCTCATAAATTGCAGTTCTTCACTTTGAAATCGAAGTTGTTCATTCATAAGTCGAAGTTGTTGTTCGGTGACAGTTGACATATTTTCCATTTGCACTACTCCTTCACGTCTACCTTGTGAATTTGTAGGCAAGCACCATCCCATAAAATCGCCGCAATTTTTACAACAATAAAATAATTTGTTTCTGTTTTGTTCCGTCTCCGAAATTTGAATAGTTGCTTTCTTATGACATTTAGGGCAATTTCTGTTGTTGAACGTCAACTGATCTGAGGTACCTCCGTTAACAGTTGAACTTGACATCTGCAAAATTATGCACACAATTCATAGTAAAGTTATATACACATTCAACTTCAATCATATCATTCCTACATACACCTAAATAGGAAGCTCTGACACTTCCATGAAGTTAGGGTTAATTTGCTATATTTACATTTGCATATATAAACAAAAACCTTGGCATTTAAATTTTTATACTTTCATATTCCAACATTTTCAACAATCTATTACAATATTTAAAGCAACTCTTTCTCTCATATCTTGTCTAATTATTAATCAATAATCTCATTTAAATATCATTTGATTTAAAAAGTGAACTTGTATATTAGGTGACTTTGAATGCAACAATGTGAATGCAACCAATATTAGTCTACAGGTTATGCTAAAGCTACTTCAATTTTCTTCAAATATTAGTCTACCAGGTTAGTCTAAAAATATCATTTTCTTCAATATGTGATATCCTACCAATGTGAATGCAACAATGCTTTGGTTTTTTCCACTATTGTAGGATAGGACTACCAGGTTTGGGTTAGGTGACTTTGAGAATAACATAAATTTATTAAAAATTTAAAAACTACTTGAATTTGAGAATTTAGAACAATGTGGTGCATTTGTAATGTCTACAGGTTATAGGAGCATACTTTGACAAACTTGGGTCAAATTCATTTGCAGTTTACTCAATTACAGTGACAGATGCAGATGAAAAATGATTATCATACTACTTTATTTTCTAGTTATCTATTCTGTAATTGAAAGAAATGCGATGGGTGTGTATAATTTCTCTTGGTTGTGTTCTACTCTAAATATGACTAGAAGCATGCCCTTTGAACCAATTTTGAAACGCAATTATATCCAAATTGTGTCCTATATTCCCTCTTCTGCTTGAATTCCTGTAAAGATTGACCAATTTATCAGTCTCGATCTGCAAATATTGTCTCATGCTAATCAAGTCATTTGAAAGGAGAATTATAATAAGTGTTCAGCAATTCCAAGATTACCCAATTGCTGCCTACAAGCTAGTCATGGTTACTTATTTAAGCTACAAATTTAATAACCATACACTACAGTTCGGGGCATATATTGATTATTTGCAGGCTATTTAGACTGTACTGATGTTTTTGTGCAGTTGTGTACCACCTCTTAAATAGTTCTCTCCCCTATATACTGCCCCCTTTGTGCCACTATTTGGTGCAGCTTCAAACCTTAGACAGTTCTAACGGGATTGGTTGATATAGAAACGTTTTGGGGGGAATACTTGATCAAGAAGGGAAAAGAAGAGGTTTTGAAGAGACCCTTTTGGATATTTGACAGATTTTCTCGAGAAACAAACAGGGTTTGATAAGAGGAAAAAAAGAAGAAGATCAAGATGGGTAGTTGTGGAAGGAATGGAGCTGTGAGACAGTATATAAGATCCAAGGTGCCTCGTTTGAGATGGACTCCTGATCTTCATCAATGCTTTGTTCATGCCATTGAAAGGCTTGGGGGTCAGGATAGTAAGTTGTTGTCAACAATCAATGTTTGCTTTCTCTCTCTTGACTTTGTTGGGGTGCTCTTTTTATTTTTTTTTTCTTTCCTCTCTCCCTCTCTCTCCCTCTCTTGATTTTCTTGATTTGTGTTGTTGTGTGGTCCTGTAATTTTTGTTCTTTGATAAAGATATATGCTGTTGGATTTTTTGTTCTTTCTACTTTGTAGAAGCAACACCAAAGCTGGTTCTTCAGTTGATGGATGTGAGAGGACTCACCATTTCACATGTCAAAAGTCATCTCCAGGTTTGTTTTTTTGTTTTTGTTTTCGTTTCTCTTAAGTGAGATGACTTTGGATTCACCATGTAAGTAATGCATATCTTTGTTTTTGCTTTTTTGGTTGTTTTGGTTCCAATCAGATGTACAGAAGCATGAGAAGTGACCACAGCAAACAAGGTATCCAAAGTTTTGACATCCCTATATCCGTTGACATGCATACATAATATGATTTTAAATAGACATATCAGAATATATATCGACGATTATATATCGAATGATATTAGACTGTGTTAATTGATGACCGATATATCAGTCTAAGACTATGAATATCAGGTGAATATTTTTGTAATAATCCCTTGTTGGTCCCAAAAAATAGACGAAGCTGGGTTAGCCGAGAGATATTCTATTCTCCGTTCAAGGACTTAATGTGATCTACTAATTTAGGGTAAAAATGGGTTCAAAAAAAAAATGCATCTATTCGAGTAATAATAGGTGCTATGGCACTGTCCAAAATCACAATTCGTATTGTATTGAATATCTATAGGCTAATATTTAAAATTTTGATATACATTAATTATAATGTGAACAAATATGATTTCCTAGAATTGTTGGAAACCCAAATGCTATTAATTTCTTTTTTTTTTCCCTTCATTTTTATACAAACTTTGGATACTCAACTGGGATTTGCATAAAAATTTCTGCACTAGGAAGTTGTATTTAATTCACTATGTTTTTTTTTTTTTTTTTGGTTCCTCTGAAAAAGGTTTCCTCTATTGGTACTTATCTTTGTCCCAAATCAAAGTTGATGTAATCGCATCTTTACCAAAATGTGTTTGCATCCTCACTTCATTTATTGTTTCATTCCCCATAAAGTTGTCCCATTTTAGCCAAAATTGATGAGCACAGAATAAAACAACCATCCTTTTGGATCGAAAATCGAAAGGGAAAAATCGAAAAGAATGGAAAGGGAGAGAAACGAACCTCGTTCTTCCAGATCGTCCAGATCTTCTCCTCTCCTTCGTGTCGTCCTGTATCGTCGCCTCACTCTTCCAGATCGTCCAGCTCTTCTCCTCTCCTTCGTGTCCTCTCCTTCGTGTCTCCTTCGTCTCCTCTCTTCTGTCTAGGGTTCAATGGAAAGGGGAAAGGTGAATAAGAAGAAAAGAAAGGAAAAAAAAAAAATTATATACAAAACGACGTCGTTTTGTAGCGCTGCTGGGAGCGCGGCTGGAAAGAGCGGCCGGAGATCTGAACTCTGTTTTTTTAGCGATGCCTGAGCCACCATCACTGTTGGGGACCAATTTAGATCAAACAAAGTAGTTTGAAATAACTGAGACTCAAGTGGATGTTGAATCAAAGCTTGGTTTGATTGAATCGATTGATGTTTCGGGCGATAAGTCTCGATCTGGGTTTGAAGAGACTGAAACGAAGTCTACTTTGGTTGATGTGATTGTTGAGAATTGTCTAAGGTCTCGGAAAAACCATTTCAAATTGTTGAGGTTGAAAATGGTGACACTACCAAGTTGGGTTCGGTTGAATTGAAGGTTAATGCAGTAGCTTCATCGAAGAAGGAGAGGAAACAATGGTTCACTTTTGAGAAATTATGGAAGAAATGACCAACTAGGGAGAAACTAGGTTTAGTTTTTTTTATTTTTTTTATTTATTATTTATTATTTTAATGAAATGATGTGCATTTTTTTAGAAAAAAATGTGATATAATATTATGTGTATTTTGATATCTATTATAGTAATTTTTCTTTAGGATACAATTGTGATTAAAATAATATTTCATTGAGTATGTGCATAGAGGTGCGTGTGAAAATAGAATTTTCTCAATCTGATGGCTACTTCATAGTAGGTGGTAATTGAAATGTGACCATATACCTCGGGGGGCGAGATGTAACTTTTGAAACTCCAAGGGTGTTTTGTATCTTGTATTTTGTTTAAACCTCAAGGGGATGTTGGTAATTTGGCCTAGAAAAAAATACTACTATTTAAAAGGATAAATTATAAATACACTTCTTGAAATTTATTTAAAATATGAATCGCTGTTGTAGTTCTGCAAATTACATTTTGCCCTATAAAGTTTCTAATATCGTTACAAATGGCCCCACTTATTAATAAATTATCAAGTCAATTAATAGTTTTTAATAATGTCATAAATATATTTTAATTAATAATTTAGGTAATTTTATTATTGTATAAGAGAACAGTTATGAATTTTATTTTTTAGTGAATTCTACTATATAAAAGGTTCTAACAATGTAGTCTTTGTAATTTTTTAAATTATAAGAGACAATCCGTAATATAAGCAAATCTCAATAAGCACATATTTAATTTAATATTTTTAAAAAGATATGAGTTTTTTTTTTTTTTTTAAATGAATAGCACGCATGGACTTTTAATCATGTATTAGCAGCATGTTTTTTAATCATTTTTTGGTAGCAGGAAATCTGGCAACCATACTGCAAGAAAGTATTGTCCAAAATGCAAATGATGATGGGATTTATTGTATTAAGGAAGTCTAAAATAACTTTTAAATCCAAACCCTCCCACTTAACCCAATATATATGGGTTATTATTATTGAGTTCTTAAAGCATCTCCAATGTTTGCTTATTTTTTATTAAATTTGAATAAAAATTTCATCTGATATCGCACGTTCCAATAGAGCAATTTGAGATTTTATCAAACGATCGATCGATTGGGAGGACGATTGAGAGAACGTCTAGTCGGTCGATTGATCAGTGTAAATTTTTGTTTCAATTATAGGCAATTTTGCAAGGAAGTGGTAGACTGGGAGAACAACCAGCCGGACATCCGACCGGTCGTCTGGTGCTCAGCATCACCCGTAAAGCTAACAGCTATCTACAGTAATTTGATGAAAGGTTCCAACATTCTCAATTTGATGGAAAATTTGAGATATCCTTAATTTGAAATTGATTTGATTTTAACGTTGGAGCACCAATTTTTTATGTTTTTTTTTTATTTATCAAATTTGAATTTGATGAAATAAAAAATGAAGCGTTGGAGGTGCTTTGGGATCCCAGACTTAAGTGTCCATAAATTGTCCAAAATAGTGATGGATGGTGGAAATTGAGTATTTTGTAGGATTCATATGTAAAATAAATTTCAACCACATATTGAAATTTCTATTGAGTAATTTTTTGGGGTTGATAGTATTATTGTTTAATAAATTTAGCCCCTTTAATAATCAACTGAAATTCAGCCAACCTCAAAATTTAATTCTAAATGATTTTGAAATAATATATATATTTCTTATGTAACTAAATAATATAAATTTTAAAATTAATATTTTTAAATGGCAGTTGGGAATATAATTTATCATCTAAACCACAACTAAAAAGAGAAATGGCTAAAAGAAAGAAAAAAAAAAATGAAGAAGTCTCAATCACCAAAAATAAAGCATAACCCAACTGGTCACTAGCACTACAAAAAAATTAAGATTTTTGAGACTAAAATTTAGAAACAAAATTATTTTTTAGGGACTAAATATTTTTGTTGCGAAAAGTGTCATTATTATATTTTTAGCAATAAAAATTGGACATTAGTGATGAATTATTATCTTTTTGGGATCAAATTTTTTGTCTAAAAAAATAAATAATTTTGAGGCTAAATTTTTTTGTCCCTAAAAATGTATTTATTAGTGACATTTTCAAAATTTTGATGCTAAAAGCCTTATTTTAAACTTTTCGGTATAACCTTTTAGCGACTATCCTTACGACGACAGAAATTGGTTCATAAATATCTTTTGCAACAAAATTTTTACTTTTAAAGACCAAAAAATTTGGTCTCTAAAACTCTTATATGTTGTAGTGTAGCCAGTCGCCATCACCACCGTTACTCATAATGAAAGCACATAATTTGCAAATAATAATAGTGTTATGCATAGTTATGGTTCTTATATAATTTTCACAATTTTGCTTACATACCTTTACTTTTTAGGATCCTTATTTGTCAATTCTACGAAAAAAAACATTTGAGTTGTAATGTTGTGAGTTTCTGAGTGTTGTTATGTATTTGATCATTTATTTTTCAGAATTAGAAATCTCCTCTTGGCCTATAAATCTACATGGAACGCTTGAGCGGTCATGTTTACGCTCGAGCGTTGAAATGGGGCATCCAATATTTTAGTCTACACTCTAAAATATTGGGTGTTTTGTTTTACCACTCGAGCAATACTTCTTGCGCTTGAGTGCAGTGATAGGTGTAAGTTTATTAACACCACCTTTCAGGACACATCGTTCAAGTGGTCTTACCCGCGTTCAAGTGGTCCTTGCGACTATGGATTGTTTAAATCACCTTAGATGCTCATTTTAGAGTTTAACGTTTTCAGATTTCTCTTTGAATACTTAAAAACAATAGGTCTATCTTATAGAGAGTTGTTATTGGTTTTCTCTTGATGGATTGTTGGTGATTTTCTCACATCATGGAATTGATTGAACACATCAAGAGGCTTTGATTGAATCTACCTTCCTTGTGTTTAACCGGTGAAATATGGGCTGAGTTGGAGTTTGTGGATTCAAGCTCAACAATGGACAATCCTAGATGAAGAGCAGGCAATGAAAATGTTTCTAGAGTCTCCAAGTGGTTGTGTGAATTCATAAATGGTAGGCTTGGTGAGATCTCTTGTAATCTTCATATTCTTTTCTTAATGGATTTGTTCACCCTTCTTGGGTCGTGGTTTTTTTTTTTTTTTTTCACAATTGGAATTGTCCAATTGTGGTATTTTTTTCACGTTAATTCTTTGTGTCGCATTTGTGAATTACTTTGAGATAATCTAAATTACATTTGTATTGGCTTGATGATTTCGATTATCGTCTTGTTTAGGAATTGCTATAAATTGCTGTTAATTAGTTCTTAAATCACGAATCACATTACATAGGATTATTCAGTACTAAGTTTCTAATGTTTCATCTAATTATACACATAGGTACTAAATGACCAATTTTTTCATTAACTACACAAATGGGTGAGTCACACTCCCATGTGGTCCGCACTTATATGTAGTTGGTAGAAAAGTTAGTATTTCAAAATATCTCCTTCATTTTTGCAACCAAATAAGTTTCCATGTGTCTAGGTTTTGCTCATGCAGCATCAACTTCATTAGCAGAATGATGGGTCATTGCACACACCAAAAATAAATGTTAAACTATACCAAATGTGTCACGCCCCACTTTTTAGTACTCGAAGTCATTACCGAATTCATTAACTTAATTCAATTTCAAGGATAACATGCGGAA